CAGTGTTTTCATCCTCCCACAACAATCTACTGCCAATGAATTGATCTCGGATTCGATTTCCGGACCATACGTTCCTGAACGTTGGCCCCCTGTCACTGCACCACAGATCTACCATCTGAGAGATATTTCCAGAGCAACTCTACACTGAACTGAGTTCCTCATACCCCACATTCCTATTATCATTTCTATAATTTCTACAATTTGTCTTTACCCCCAAAAAATCATTCACGTTCTTCTGAAAGTCTAGAGGGAAGAACGGAAGGGCAAAATTTCACTCCGTATTTGTGCAGCTGACGTCTTCTCAAACAGTATCGTACAGGGCCGTATATAATGTTTCGGTGGGCTGTTCCAATGTTCCATGCATTAAGCCCGATCATTCACCATCAGGAGCTATTCATAATTCCCTGCTGAAAAATTTTGGAAGAGCTATTAAAATCTCAATTATAATGGGAATATACGCTCTCGATGTGTAAAGGATACGGTACCTGAATTCAACACATTGTAAATTCGATGGTGGACGGCTCGAGATGAGCGACATGTATAGCGATGCGACGGGAGGAAGTAGCAACAGGGAAAGTATTTCAGTAAGTGACCTTGTAAAAAACCTAGAAGAAGGAAGAATGAAAGGCTGAATAAATTATTCCCATTGCTATGATCAAGATGGAGTCATTTGGCCAGATAACTTTTGCAACGAATAACCGTGTTATTAGTTGTACTGATTATTCACCTTCCTGTGAAATAATCGATTCAGCCCCAGAATAATTGCTTCCAAGGCAGTCCGTTTAATTATCCACTTACAAAATGTAACGAAGGAGCTCGAAGAAAATGCCAGGCATACTCTCTTCAGCAGCTATCAATCGTAAAGTCTGTCAATCTTACTTGTTTATAGAGCAGTAACTTTGTGTGTCGGTTTATGGGTTTGTCGGTTTGTCGGCTGTCGGTCTTTTCGGTCGCATACTTTATGATTACGATAAGGGTAGTGATATGAAAGACCCAGCTCTATAGCTTATCCCCTTCTTATATATAAAACTGGTAGGCTACAAACTCTGTGGGTAGGTTAATGGAGTAGAGTAAGTACTGCGGAGTGACGTGAGTAATGAGTAGTGCAGTGGATACTTCTGGGATTTCGATCTGTAGTTTATATCCTACTTATATGATCGGCTAAGTTTGTCTGTTGGTGTGTTTGTGTGTGTGGATGTGTGTGTGTCTGACCGAAAATGCATAACTTCTGCCCCTGTAGACCGAAAGCGTTGATATTTGGTAGGAGTACAGGTGGCAGGATGGGAACACTTTCAGTGGGTGGCAGGTCCGGACTACGCCCAAAGGGGGCGGGGTTTGTGAGAAATAAATGTTTTAGCAAAAGTTCAGAACTCCTGTCCCCGTGATCCTAGAGCACTCAAACTTGCTAGGAGTACGGGCGGTAGGATTACAACACTTATGGTAGGTAGCAGGATTAGACTCCGCCCACAATGGGCAGGAGTGCAAGAATTCACAACTCCTGTCTCCGTGATCCTAGTAAACTATTAATCAGGTAAATCAAGTCTCACTAGGGGGATCGATGGAGAGGAGCAAGAAGAAATCTGTGGAAGTTTTCAAAAACTGTCCCTCAAAAAGCCCCTGCTCCGATGCGGCATGGCGGCATGTATGGATATAGGCCTAATATGCTCAAAAGGATCTTCATATTCCTATTTGAATTTCTTGGGTGCTATCAAACCCCTGCTCTAATGCTTCGGAAGCGGCCCCTCTCCTGAAACTGTGGGTATCGTAGTTGCCTCCTATACCTGCAATAATAAACACTTGTTGCAATCGATTATAAGTAGTAGATCGGTTGAGAAGATAGGTTTGTGAATGCGTTGGAAGGGATGGTTGATGTTAAGTTCTTTTTCGAAACAAGTGCCGTGTGTTTTGACATGAGTGCGTGGTCGTCCGAATCGTCTTTGATTTGAGGAAAGCGTAACCCCCTGCCTTCAATTCCTCCTTGCTCTGTTTTTATTTCAGGTGAGCACCGAACATGGAGTGTGAGGTCACTATTCTCGAATTTTGACTTCGTTGAATTGGATTAACCCTCTGCAGATCAGTTCAGCTAGGCCAACTGCAGAAAAAGCTTTGAAATGTGAGAAATGAGACGCTTAAGTGTACTAGAGCGCTGAAATCTGCCAAACAAATTGTGTTCCGTTGGTTCACTGGTAGCCTGTGTCCGACTGCATTTCCAGTAATGATTTTTCTAGTTTTTATTTTGCCTGTGAAGAATGGTAGGGCTGACGATACTACCATATATAACGCTCTGATGTCTGTGTGTGTTTCTCGATCGAGACTTCTTATCATAGACAAAACATCGACACATTTGGAAAGCATTTCCATGCTCTGTTAGTCCTTTGGAGAACTTCGTGATCCGAAAAGTTCATTTGTTGCAAATAATGAGCGGCTATTTCGTCGATATTACAACTCTGTCGAAAGAAGGATGGAAGCCAGGCGTCAGCCGGGCGACCTGACTAGTATCACTGATAAAGCCTTTTCAGATGCAGCTAGCTAAGAATAGATTTCTCGTTCCTCGAGTGGGATGGCCTCTATTCTTCCCCCCTCTCCCTGTCCCATTCGACCTTTTTCAAAGTGAATATGCCTTGAAGGTTACAATAGATCGGTCGTTGTTGAGAGAATGCCTGATAGCATCTGCTAGGTGTGGTAGCTTGCGCTGGCAGTCTCGCACAGTGCACTTCCTGGAAGTGTCAGGTGGATGGGGGTCAATTCGTTAAGAAAACAATAACGTGGGCTGAGGTTTTTTAAGAAGACATTTTGGATAGCGATATCGCCTCGTAGTCGCTGGTACCTGGGATTATGACGAAATACTGTCGCTCTTAGGAGATATTGTACCGTAACAGTATCTGAAATGACGAAAAGTCACCACCATATCGGAAGCAGTACTTACCATACAAATGAAGATCTAGATGAACCTATCGAGATCCTTTGCCTAAACTGATTTTTTGAACTGATCATTATACATAATAGCTTTAAAGGTGTTTAACATCTGAGCCTTTCGAATTTACGCGCGCTCTCTAGTGATGCATAACTTTCATTGCTCAGTGTGCTTGACTTACGAAGCAAACCCCAGTTGGAGGAGAGGGGTAAAAACGACGGCTTAGTTTTAATTTATACATTGAACTGGGGTTTGACTTGAAAAAAATAATATCATACTGCGCATTCGACTCGCGTTACCTTTAGTGTTTTTAGGTGAGACGCTCGAGTTTACTCAGATATACTATTGCCGATTGAGAATATTCGACGGCGATTTATAGTCAACTTTGCTCATGTGTAGCATAATTAGTCAGGTGAATCGTCTTGGAACTGTTTTCATTTTTGTGAAACAGTCTCTGCAAGAGAACAAATTATGGATTGTTGACCATTTATTGATGCGGACATCCTCACTCATCGCATAACCTACCCGAGGACAGTAAGTCTTCCTCTGTTCTTACGTGACACCATCACGATACCGGAATCGCGCAATGTTTTCCGCGTATATGAAAAGTAATCAAGAATTCCCTTTCGATGAACTTTTTTCAAGGCTCTTTCTTACTTTGAACGATCTTTGCTCTTTGCTCTTGGACAGCATGTGTAGTAGTAGCAACAGTGGTGGGGTAGGCCAAGTGATGGTAGGGGTGGTTTTATTGTAGTTACACCATATCTAAAGTTTACAGGATTTGCGCAGCCTACTTGAATCCAGTAGCAGCACATCGTGTAAATTTCGTGAGATTCGGCATAGTCCCCCAGAAAATCTGTGAAATTTTCTCCATTCTGTCGAAGCATCAAATGTTTGCCTACATCCTCCTATTGACTTTCCGCTTCCGTCGAATGTGGAATTTTTCAGGACAGACCCACTGGGAGCACCTGTATGGATGAAGATATCCACCATTTTGACATTCCACTGTTTCAATTCCCCTATTGGCACACAGCTCTGAAAACAACCGCACTAAACAAATTTCAAAGATGTGATGCCGAATGCGGGGCCCATATTGGAAGAAGAGATTGTAAAAGGATTTCAATATCATTAGTTCGAAGCCTGTAAGCTTTCATAGTATACACCGGCAGAGCCAAAGGCGGCATACTACCGATTGAATGAAATTGTAGCTCATATTTGCTACCTCAACAACTCCCCCTAAAACTAATCTATTTTCGAACTCACTTTCACATCCATAAAGCTTGTTCAGCATTCAGGCGTCGATGAATGAATCGGATGGTGACCCAAGAACTTTTCGATACTCCACGTCATACGGTGTCGGCGTTGACAGTGTAGGGTGAATCGCGGCGCTGCGAAAAGATATCGCTGAGAATAAACATGATACTACGCACATGCCAATGTATTCAATGTTGTGGATGGCAATTCGGAAAACTATGATGCTTATGCTCAAGCATAAAGGGATTTAAATTTGCATTTTCACTTACGAGACGAATTATTAGACGGTTCAGCAAATCGAAATCGAATCCCTGACTATTCGACTATTCGGACTAACTCCGACGTGCGATAGTGCATAATGCTTCCATAGTCGTAGTCCAGCTCAAAGTTATCATTCATGTCTGATGACTAACACTCGAATTGATTCACCCAATATTTCTGGATGAGATGTGAATCTAATGAGATCGTAAACGTTCTATTAGTTTCATCCTCCTTTTCCTGAATGTTTTCCAGATTTACTCTAACGTGGTCATTGCTATCATGCGTGGACATGGTGCCTGTGGTAAAATCCGAAAGAATGGCCCAACTCGTGAGCGGCGATAGAGTCCCAAGGAAAAAGAGAACACTTGAACAACTTGAGATAACTACTGCTCATATTAATTCTCCTTGCTCTCGGAAGTCCCACCTTCCAAAATCTCCCATTGCGCATGGGGGCATAGCGATTCGCAAAGGACGTTTTCGTTTTTTCGAAGAAACTTTCGAAAGTCATAGATACTTTATCATTTCGCTCAAGGCATCTTCCTTTGAAGGCACAGTTCACTATAAAAACGGTTTCGAATCAAATTGTGGCCCTCGTGGGTAGCAATAAGAAGTCGAAAAACGGCCTGTATAGGCTGTAAAAAGAACCCCCTACGTCTAGCCGACGTCCACACCCAGAGGCGCACGAGATATCAGAAGAGATTTCGAAGCTATAGAGATTGCACATTTGCACCACAACCCACACCTTAACATACGATCAGCTGATCACCGGGTGTGGAGGGATGCTTTTGAGCCATTTTGGCTTACTGTGGCCACCTGTGACTCATGACTCACACTGCGTAGAGCCCATCCAAACCCTCACTTCACGCCATTTCATTTCGTCTTACTCTCGTCGAACTCCGGTTTCT